AAGTTTAACATCAAACTTGAAAAAATATTTTTGCCAAACTCTCAGCAATGCAGCCCTTATTATATGATTTCTAAAAGTTTTATCAATCTTTTTTTGCATAAAAAGATAAGCATGCCACCCAAAATACAAATCCCATCCTTCCAAGTTCAAAATCCTCTTATTGGATAAATTAATCCAATCAGTCATCCAAGTCAATGCAATGCCTGGAAGTTTTTGAAGTGTTTCATTAGTTGGAACCATGACATCCAGGTGATGAGGCAAGAGAGATCACGTCTAAAACTGATGCCACCAAACAATGTAGATTAATTAACAGATTTTTAGAAAAGCCAAACTTTTGGCCCTTAACCAAGGGATGGTTAGATAATCTTAAATAATCTTTTATGTCTAACTATAGGCATGAATCACTCCAAGAACTTTCTCCTCTAGAGATTAATGCATTTTCTGTATTAGTGCTTGGCCGTTGCAATTTTTAAAAGCATTTCCTTTAAAAAAAAGATTTCATCAAGATCTTGCCTTTCTCTATGGCAGTCACTCAGTTGATCAGTCCCAACTAGTTAAACAATTAAAAGGTGCAACCTTTTAATTATTTGTATTTTCTTTTTTTTATTCAAGGATCGATGCCAGTGAAAATCAAGTGGATGAAACCATCTTTATTTTGGAATCGTACATCAACAGCACCATCAGACACTGACCCGTCAGCTGGAGCTTGATAAATCCTGTCCTGGTCTTCTAGTTTTTAAAGTCTGATTTGTTTTGTTTTCATATAAAGATTTTTTCATATAAAAAAACTTGCCTTCGTGTGGTGGTAGTTTTTGATGCAGGAAAATGTGTGAAAAGAGAGTATAAAGGTAGTCTTGGTTTTACATCTGATGGTTTAATGACTGTTCAACATTACAATGGCCTTGGAAAAAGTGATTTACAACCTGTGCTTACAATTGTTGTGCCATCCCTGTGGTCACGTGATCACAATTTGGGTGCTTGGCAGTGGCTCACATTTACAATTGCAATCCAATTCCCTGTATGAACAGGAGAGTCTATATCATTTCGGTGTCCTGTCTCTTCTGGAAAGCCTCCAGTGATGGGACATCCACAACTTCTGAAAAGCAAGGCATTCCCCTGATTAATTGTTCTCACCAGTAGGAAATTCCTTCCGAGTTCCAGGTTGCTTCTCTCCTTGGTTAGTTTCCATCCGTTGCTTCTTGTCCTGCCTTCAGGTGCTTTAGAGAATAGGTGGGGCCCCCCTCTTCTTTGTGGCAGCCCCTCAAATACTGGAGACGGTATACGTTCTCCTGCTTGAGCAGGGGGCTGGACTAGAAGATCTCCAAGGTCCCTTCCAGCTCTATTCTAATTCTAATTCCATCATGTCACCCTGGTCCTTCTTATCAGCAGACTAGACATATCTAATTCCTGCGACCGTTCTTCATATGTTTTACCCTCCAGGCCTTTAATCATCTTGAGTTGCTCTTCTCTGCACTTTTTCCAAAGTCTCAACATCTTTTTTGTATTGTGATGACCGAAACTGGATGCGGTGTTCCAAGTGTGGCCTTACTAAGGCTTGGTAAAACGGTACTAATATTTCACGTGATCTTGATTCTACGCCTCTGTTAATGCAGCCTAAGATTGCATTGGCTCTTTTTGGCTGCTGCTGCACATGGTTGGCTCATATTGTTCACATGGATTCTAAGATCCCTCTCAACAGTTTCTGGCACTGAGCCAAGTTTGACCTAACCTCTACCTGTACAGCTGGGGTTTTTTTTTCTTACTTTTTATCTACATTGAATTTCATTTTGATAGGGCCCAGCTGAGTTCAAGCTTGTCAAGATCTGTCTGAATTCTGGGAGTTGAAGTCCATAATTCCTAAAGGGGCTATGGTTTCCCACCCCTGCCCCAGGGGATCCGGGCTTAGGCTTGTCTGAGAAGCCCCAAACCCAGTAGAAGACAGCTGCAAGGGGTTTGGTTGCCCCAAAATACGCATATGCGTTCATCTCTGTTTGAAGAAGGCTTAAACGTGGTTAGAAGTATATAGGAATGAAATTAGTATACAGGTAGTCCTCTACTTCCGACCACAACTGAGCCCAAAATGTCTTCTGCTAAGTGAGACAGTTCAGTCTATTTTGCCTCAGTTTACAACCTTTCTCGTGAATCCCTGCAGTTGTTAAGTTAGTAGCACGGTTTGTTAAGTGAATCCGGCTTCCCCATTGACTTTGCTTGTCAGGAGGTCACAAAAGGGGATCACATGACCTGGGGACACTGTAGTTGTCATAAATATGAGCCAGTTGCTGAATGTCCAAATTTTGATCGCGTGACCAGGGGGATGCTGCACCGGTCGTAAGTGTGAAAATTGGTCATAAGTCCTTTTTTCCCCCCAGTGCCGTTGTAACTTAGAACGGTCACTAAATGAACTGTGATATGTCAAGAAGTACCTGTTACTGGCAAAATGCAGAAAGCAATACGCCGGTCAAGGGAGAGAAAAAAGCACAAATGTATCATCCGTCACAGAACATAGAATAAATAACAGGCTTGCAGTGCACCTTAAAGGTCATCTAGTCCAACCCTGCCAACAAAAGTACGTATAGTCAAGGCCATGGTTTTCCTAGTTGCAATATACGGCTGTGAAGGTTGGACCATAAGAAAGGCTGAGCGCCAAAGAATGGAGGCCTTTGAACTCTGGTGCTGGAGAAGACTCCTGCGAGTCCCCTGGACTGCAAGGCGATCCAACTGGTCAGTCCTGGAGGAGATCAACCCCGACTGCTCTTTAGAAGGCCAGACCCTGAAGTTGAAACTCATGTACTTTGGCCACCTCATGAGAAGGAAGGCTCACTGGAGAAGAGCCTGATGCTGGGAAAGATGGAGGGCAAGAGAAGAAGGGGACGACAGAGAATGGGGTGGCTGGATGGAGTCCCTGAAGCAGCAGGCGTGAGCTTCAATGGACTCCAGAAGATGGTAGAGGACAGGAAGGCCTGGAGGAACGTTGTCCACGGGGTCGCGATGGGTGGGACACGACTTCGCAATTAACAACAACAACAACAACGAGAAAAAAGGACTCCCTGGAGAAGAGCCTGATGCTGGGAAAGATGGAGGGCAAGAGAAGAAGGGGACGACAGAGAAGGAAGTGGCTGGATGGAGTCACTGAAGCAGCAGGCGTGAGCTTCAATGGACCCCAGAAGATGGTAGAGGACAGGAAGGCCTGGAGGAACGTGGTCCATGGGGTCGCAATGGGTCGGACACGACTTCGCAACTAACAACAACAACAGTCCTTGCTTTACACCATTCCAAACCTCAATCAAGATCCCAGGAACTCAGCTTGACCCCGCACCCTCCAGGAATCAACCTGGGCAGAAATTCCGGATCTTCTGGAGTTGATACCAACTCCTCAACCTGCAGGACCGCACTCCTTTTGCAAACCAGGGCCGGCAGAGGGCGCTCTCCCAGCCAGGAGAAGGGCTGAAGCGCCTGGGAACCGCCGCTAGAGGGCCGCCACCTCCCTCCGGGCCCGGGCATCGCAAGCAGGAGCCGAGCCGAGCCGAGCCGAGCCGAGCCTACCGTCCGCGCGTGCTTCCTCCTCCGAAGGGCCCCGATCATGCTGGCCGGCAGGAGGGTGGCGGTGCACGTCTGCAGAGGGGCCGGCTTCCCGCAACGGGCCCGCTTCGAGCAGGTAGCAGCGCGGGGAGGGCGCGGGGGGGCTGCCCAGGGGAGGGAACCGAATCCAGATCAGGAGAAGGGTTACTACCGCTTTAGTAAGGCCACCCCTGGAATACAACAGCATCCAGTTTGGGTCGCCACCCTATCAAACAGACGTTGCAACGCTGGAAAATAGTGCAGAGAAGAGCAACCAAGACGATTAAAGGCCTGGAGAGTATAAAACATACGAAGAACGGTTGCAGGATTTGGGTATGGCCAGTCTAGAGAAAAGAAGGACTAGGGGTGACATAATAGCAGTATTCCAGTATTTGAGGGGCTGCCACAAAGAAGGGGGGGGGGGCTCAATTTATTTTCCAAAGCACCTGAAGGCAGGACAAGAAACAGCGGATGGAAAATTAATCAAGGAGAGAAACAACCTGGAATTAAGGAGAAACTTCCTGATAGTGAGGACAATCAACCAGTGGAACAGCTTGCCTCCAGAAGTTGTGGGTGCTCCATCACTGGAGGCTTTTAAGAAAAGTCTGGACAGGCATTTGTCCGGAATGGCATAGGGTCCCCTGGTTGGACTGTACTTAAGTTGGACTGTATTTACCTTTACTTAAGAGAGAATGAACTCAGGTGGTTGAGAAATCAAATGCAGCCACTGGGTTAACT